ATAGTCGATCATTTTTCAGCATAGCTGTGATAAACACCTTCAAACAGCTGGCAAAAGAATGCAATGACAGGGACTGTGACAGGGTTTTATGTCTGGTCTTCACAACTATGGTTGCTAGTAATCTTCTCCGGCGCCTTACTGATTTTTCTCTTTCTTTCTTTTCTACCAAGTGGTAGTCGCTTTTCGCGTAATATAGTTATCTGAGGGCGAAGATGATGTAGCGACAAGTGGCGCACTACCACTCACGAATGGTCAAGGGTTCGAATCCCGGATCGATATCCGTTCAGACCAAACATACCTTCTTTCCCTCCGGGGTCAGCTAATTGGTACCAGACTCGTCCAAGAAGATAAAAGCATTGTCTTAACATCGGCAAGTCATTGTATAGGCCCCATACGCATTCAATACGTCACTACGATTCTGAAGGGAGTCGAAGGGTGCGCGCCCGTATCGAGAGGCATTCAGAATTGTAGCACCGCTTGAATGCACATGCGTCATACACAATAGCATGCTCTAGACAGCCGATATGCAAGCCAGAATTTTCATAGGTGGGTCTGTTACTACTTATCCAACCCAGGAGGGATGGGCGAGTATCGATCTGGGATTTGATCTCACGACCAGTGCACCACTTGCCCCTACACCACTTCTGGCTCGGAAAAATACCATCAGGATTTTAAAAATGATAAATAAATCAGTAAGTAGCCATCGCAAAGCCGTACAACGGATATAACCCATGAAAGCGGTATCATCAATTTTCTCCGAACAATGTGAGACGTCAGCGCCAAGGGAACCTGGGAAGGGCCTTGAACCACTAAAGTGTAGTCAGCCACGGACAGGTGTATCATTAAAAATCATTTTAGTCAGAAAGCAGCAAGGGTAGAGTAAACTCGTTAGGATAATTTTCAGAGGGTACGGGAATACAGTCGAGGAATAGCTGTGAATGATTACCTGGTCATGGGAGACCGAGTCGTTGAAAATTTGACTCATAACTAGTTGAAAATAGAGTTGTTGTCGTTGTCGGGAACGCAAGCAGCTTCTAAGTTCCCTTTTTTGTAGATATGATTGATACTGTGCACGCAGTGGGCTTAATTTGGATTGAGCTGGAGGACGTGCCTGAGGAGCTGAGAAATACAACAAATCCACCTGAAAATCCAACTCAGCAGAGTCAACCCACAGCCATGAACCGTTATGTTCCCCTTTCAGTAGTTCTGGGAGTAACATTTGGGTGTTTAGTAAGAAATCAACACCTAAAATAACCTACCGGAAAATTCAATGCTTGCCGATTACTCAGGACAATGACAAGTGTGAGTACCCAAGTGCTCCCTATGCCTTGTGACTAGCCTGCTTGGAAATGTCCCAGAAGGAGGCTGGAAGAAAATCCTAGTCTTTAGCGAGAGAGCTCAAAACCGAGCGATTTTCGACCATCGAAACTATCGCTATTAATCTTCCACAAACTGCAAGATGGAAATCTAGGCTTCGGCTGTCGTTGCTACGTATTTCAGGGTCAATTCGGCGACCTTACTAGGTGCGAGCCGAATCGAAATCTTCCATCAATCAGTCTAGAGCATGGCCAGTCTTACTGTAATATCTCGCAAATGTTTGCTTTGCTATACACTGACGATGAGTAGAGATGTGCCGATAAGTGCAGCGCTCCGATTAATTCTCGCAGTTATGCGTTCAGGGTTAAAGATACGGTAGGTAATAGAAGTCACATCCTGACTGAGGTTAGAAAGTTTTGGAAGAAAGCGGCAATAAGGTTACGGTAGCAGTGACTACTACTTCTCGTTTTCTACTTCTTGAAAGTCCAGTGTTTCACTTTGGCGTTGAGCAGCCCTGCTCTTGGGATCCGCCCCACATTCGCCTTCCACTCGAAAACATGGTGACGATTTTAAGACGTACATGGCCTATACAATGACTCGCGGATGACCGGCGGACGAGTTAGCGCTCCTATCCTTTCGCACCAGTCTGCTAACAGCTAGCCAACCCCAGAGGGATTTAGACCCGGTTCGCCACTAGGTCCAGGGTTCAAATCCCGAATCTGATCCCCCGACCAGGTATTTGTTAGAGCTGGACTGTATTGCCGAGAAATTCCTAGTAGACCCGAAATTTTCACCGTAATCCCACCAATGATTTGAAATAGGACCCGTTATCTACGACAATTTGCCGCAGGTATTAATGTGAAACAACAGAATGATTACGGCATCAGGTTGAATCCGCACTGAAAATTCATGTCCTCAAACATCAAAAGTTGCATTTGTACCAACATTTGTGAAACAGAATTTTTATATGGATCTATTTATAGCACTTATTATAATTTGGTATATAATTTCAATTATGGCAGCTAGTAATTACAAATTCAAAAACATATCACAATAAATAAATCACACTACATTTCTGAACACAGATCAAATAATGAATGAATGCACCATATATGAGGCTGAAGTATAAATGATATCGAGTACTACTAGAGTTTGGGCATTGTGAGGAGAATCGAGGGATAGCGAAAAGTACTGAATAGAATTCTGAACCCCAAGAAGGACTAAATCACAAAAATATCACACAACAGGAAAGAATACATACATGGTCAACAGATAGTATAAACACTTCTACACGCGCGATTGTCAAGAAATGCGTCCAGGAGGCAAATTACTGAAACGCTTTGAGTTGGCAACACTTACCCATTCATCGATTTTGAACCTCCGTGAAACAGTTATCACAGACCCTGACGGGGTTTTTATGGCTGGCAATCCTGCAATCAAGATTTATCCAGTCTCAGTTAGAAAAACGTTTTCGGGAAATATAGAAAATACAACCCGGGAGAACGACAAATAAAACTTACTGAGTGGTTTTTGAGCTACATGGTGCGCAGAAAATCAGTCCACAAACTCGACAGTGATGCTTTCGAACTGTCAGACTGAACATCTTTCCACAGGTTGTACAGTTAACAGCAGCTGAGTCATCCAGCCATGTTCGCGAGGAATGCTTCGAGATATCCATCTGAGGCAGACCATTACTTAACTTTTCCACAGCAAGAAGAAATTCATAAAGAAAGGCTAAGGCGATCTGAGGACTCCAAAAAGGTAAACTGCTTATGTCCATGAAAAAGACAACCATCGGCAACCATCGGCAAGCCCTACGAAAAACTGGATGGATTTATGCCGTGAGCCAATAGAGTATCATTTTTTTGACAGTCCCGAAATATGCACTACCAGAACTAGAAACATTTCTGAATTTTTTAAAAATCAGGGGGATGGATTCTGAACCTGCAGTGACTGATTAGCTCGTCCAAGCTCATGCATAGCCGAAAGTGCTTCATCAAATCTCCGCTTATTCTCCATCGCTCTATCTCGTTCGAAGTCCAAGTCGCTTTCGGTATTCAAACATCTGAACAGTAAAATACATAAAAACTTATAGAACAAAAAATAGTTCAGTACCAATGAAAACTGCGTACCGTTCGATGAGCGCGTTCTTTTCCTCTTCCCAAGACGAGATTTTCTTTGACAACTCTACAAAAACATTTTTTATTACTGGAAAAGATGGAGCTAACTGAAACCTGCAAGAACCAACCCATATTGGCCGTCGTCATCTCTTCGGCAGTTTTCACCGCCTCTGCCGAAACTCTGACTTGTTCGTCCAGTTCAGACTGTATTGCTTTGATCGATCGTTTCAGGGCAGATATTTCTTCACTCAGTTTCGCTTCTTTTGAAAGTGCCACGGACTCTATTTCGGCCATACTTGACGTCAGACGTTCCTGGAGAGAGGGAAGATTGACATTAACGTTGAACGGCTGAGACTAAAAGGCTTCGACATACAATCTCAGCATTTTTCTCGGACAGTTCACGATCTTTGGACAACTGGATATCTTTTGACAATTGTTCAAACTGTGCGCATCTTGCTTGTAACTGAAATTGAAAATGAATCCTATTAAAGATGTTTCATGGAAGCAGTAATACAAACGAATAGAACAGACATTGGCCAACTGCTCCTCTTTTGTTCGGATTGTTCCACGAAGTTCTTCGGCTTCTTTTTTCTGTTCTTCTAGAGCCTCGTCTGACCGCTAAAATACACCGAAGTAATTCGGGATATTGTAGAGTTAGAAAAGTGAGTTTGGAAAAGTGAATCATTTTACAAGGACTCGAAACGAGCTCTGTTGAGGTTGCTTTGGAGCATCATTAAGTCAAAAACTACATCAGGAATAATGTAACGCATGAGCTAGTCATCTTTTAAAAAAGCAGAATTATAATAGTTTGTAGTACAAAACGGCGGGAACTCCACCACTCTGCTTAACCTTCAGTCTGGTCGACACTGTATTGTAATCCCACAAATATGACTCATACCGGTTTTAATCCGTGCCCCTAAAGTGTTGGCTCTTCGAATGACAGGAAAGGATGAGTCATTCACAGTAACGAAACAAATAACAAGGGGTCATATTTCAACGCCGCTATTCTGGATCAGTGGACGGAAACAGAACAAGGAGAAGGTCACCAACCTTGGAAGCCTCTTGTTGCTGAACCCGTAACAACGAACATTCTTCCACTGCTCCTTGCCGCTCCACTTCCAGGGTTTCGAGTTTGCGGCGTTCATCCGCTATTTCGGATTCGAACTTCGCCTAAAGTCATTTCAATGAATAGAAACTTCAGAGCAAATAGTTAGAATAATATTTACCACAATGTAAGAATTTAAAAAGCGAATTCACACCTACCATTCGCTCATGGAAATGTTCCAATTCCATGGATTTACTGTTCAAATCGTCTTGTAGTCGCTCGTTCGAAGTCGTCAAACGACGCATTTCCTTCAACACCATAAAAATTAGTGTCAGCCTGATCGCAAAGTAATCGAGATGGGAGAAGAAACTCACTTGGTCTTTTGAGTCTTGGTCAGTAATCAAATTATTCTTTTCATCTTCTAATTGTTGCACCAATGACTCCAGCTCTGATTCCCGTTGCTCTGACTTCTTTTGTACAGAATCGAGTTCTGATCTGGCGTCAGACAGAGCATTTTCCACGGACTGGAGTATTACTATATAGATAAATACAGAAAGATCGACTTTGAAACTCTCAATGGAACTAAATGCTGGTAGAAGAAATTTGATTTCTTCACTGGAGAGTACTAAAGAGATCAAAAAAAATAGCAAATCAAGGAGTGGGGGTGGTGTGATGGCAAGTAGTAAGCTATCACATATGAATGTTCCGGGAAACAAACAATGCTCATTCGGGCCAAACAAGACTTTTCTCTCCAGGTCGGCTAATTGGTAACAACGTTCTCTGCGGGAATAAAAGCATTGATATGTACATCCTGGTTATCGCAATTTACTGTATAGGCTATATAAGCAATCGAAACTTCGCCACGATCCTGAAAGGAAGTCGGGTGTGGAGACAATTACCGTTAAAAAACTTTCCTTTGTTCTTCAACGAAACAAGGTTCTAATAACATAACAACTTAATGTGTTACCGTTGATTATTGCTCACCTTATAAAAGGTCGGTACTGAAGGCTAACCGTGTCGTTCAAATTATAATAGTTAACGAAGTAACAATATAAGAATGCAGGCTTGTTTAGGGTATGTTTAACGAAGTCGTCTTACCTTCAGCAGAGTAACTTCATCCTCGTATTTTTTCTGTGTAGCTTCGCGTCGACTTTGCTCTTCAGCTAACTGCTCTTTCTAAAATATACTCTAGTCAGGTTAGTAAAGAAAATGGCTTCGAAAAAAGGAATACTGGCAGTTTCTGTGTGCAATTGCCCTATCCCATCCAAGTTAAGTGAGAGTTTGACTGTAGTGGATTGAAAGAGTATGCAGACGAGTAAATGACCTTTCCTCATCATCTTACGGATTCAACCCAGTAACCCAACATCGAAGAACTAAGAGAGGACGCTGCTAACAGAAAGGTGCCCCTTGCCCTTCTCGTTACCGTTTACCTTCAAGGGAATTCCCCAACATGAATTTGACCCTGATTAACGTAGCAATAAAAAACACATCACCAATCCAATCTGCTGGTGCTATAAATGTGGAAACTTATTGGATATTTTTAATTTGATAGTTGGAAGTACGAAGCTAATATCACATTAAATTTTCACCTGATTTTGCACGGTTTGTGTCAAGACCTCTACCGTTTTCCGACATTCTTCCAATTCAGCGTCCAGTGCAGTGATTCTTCGCGATGATTCTTCTTGAGAGATATCCAATTTAACAATTTTTGCCTGAAAAGGAAGAAATGAGATATTTCATGGTCGAAGCCCACGAAAAAGGTAACAGAAAGGACCTGCAGGGCAGCGTTATCTTTCTTCTCGTGCTCTAACGATGTTTGCAATTGCTTGGTGGTGGAGAGCAATTCTTCGTTGTGCTCCTGATTCTTTTCCAGCTGTTCCTCGAATTCTTCTCGTTTTCTTTTCCAGTGTTCCTCTTTCTCACTAGCTTCGGTTACGGCATCTCGCAGGGCTTGCTCTTTGGAAGCTAATTCGGCCGTTAGCTGTAAAAACACCTTCAACATGGTAGCTCACATCCTTGACTCTGGTAGCGAGCAAGGTGTTAATCGAAGCCGTAGTTAGGCAGCTAAGTTTTTATCAAGCAACTACCTCCAACAAAAAGTACCACTATCCGAAACCCGATTGCGGTTCTTAATTTAATTGATAAATTAAAAACCACCTTCTCCACTTGCTGTTTGAAGGACAGTATGAGAGCTTCTTTATCATCGAGCTGAGAACGCAAATCAGATTCAGAGTCCGTCACAGCTAACCGTCGAGCCTCGCTCTGCGACAACTCCGCCTCCTGCAAACCATAACAACTGAACACTGTACAATTTTAAATATCCAAACTTATATACCAATTTCCTAGCTTTCGCTTCAGCTTCTGCTATATGATTGACCGACTCTTCTATTTTCCGACGACTTTCTTCAATTTGATGTTCTTTTTCGCGGAGGAGACGGTTTTTATCGGATAGTTGGCTGGACAACTGGAATTATTGGAAAATTAGAGAAATAAAAGTCCATAGGCATCGAGCTTCAAATAGAAGACATTTCCGAGCATACGTATTTTGAATGCATTGGATTATTTCGGATCGGAATGGTAAGCTAAGCAACAGTGCGGAATACCTCTTCTATTTGTTTGCGTGCCTCCGAAACACTTGCATCTTTTGCAAGGATGATGTCTTTGAGCTTTTGTATTCGCTCGCTCGCCAGCCGTCGGTCATCTTCGATCTCTTTCTCCATCTCAACGAAACGTTCCGCCTGAGAAATAAAGTATGAATGCAATAATCAATAATAAAAAGGATGTTG